AGGAGAACTTTCTTCTCGGACAGAACCATCTGCCTCTGCAACCACCTTTTCAGAGGGAGGCACTGCAACGTGGGTGAGTGAACAGTTGCGACCGGAAGTGGAAAGTTGTGTTCCATTACCTTCTTTTTTTTAAAGGGTTGGATTGCTACCGGTTTTAATACTGGTTCGCAACGCGCGCTGCACGCATGTGCACTCTTCGGTGTAAATTGTTCTCCACGCATGCGCAGAACAATTTACAGTCAACTGCGCACGGGCAGACACTAAAAACCAAAATGGCGCTGGCCCAGCAGCAGCGAAGGAACTGGTTTGGGGGGCGTGGCAATCCTGGGTCGCTGCCGGTTCTGTGACCCAGGCCTGAATTCCCACTACCGGTTCGTTCGAACCGGGCAGAACCGGGCAGAACCGGGAGCAACCCACCTCTGGTCTGCAGCCACCCTCTTTGCGAGAGGGTTTAATTTCCCAGTTAGACAATTTTATCGTGATTTACAGAGGCACAGAAAGAGCAGAGAGGAAAAAAAGGGGAAATGGTACCCAAAAAAGGAATTACCATGTTTTTCGGAGTGTAAGACCCGCCGGAGTATAAGACGCACCAAGGTTTTGAAGAGGCAAATTAAAAAAGAAAGGTTTTTGCGCTCTGCAAACCTCCCCAAAAACGGCCCGTTTTTCCTTTCTTCATCAGCTCCAAGTCAAAACTGCTATCGGGGTAACGCGACCGATTACCTGGGCCTGGCCAAGAAGACCATTTCTGGAGATGATTGTCTCCCATGGACCTCCCACCTCTTCTCCTACGAGGACTCTCAAACAAGTACGGTGCAGCTGGGATTGGGCTCACATTCCTACTGCCGGTAAGATGCCAGAGGAGTAACTCCTTTGTAAGGACAGTTTGGAGTACCCCGTGTCCCCAAAATAAGACCCAGCACAGTGTTTCTCAACCTTGGCAACTTGAAGATGTCCGGATTTCAACTCCCAGAACTCCCAGAATTCAATTCTGGGAGTTGAAGTCCGGACATCTTCAAGTTGCCAAGGTTGAGAAACACTGCCCTAGCATGATTTTTCAGGATGCTCATAATATAAGCCCTACCCCCAAAATAAGACCCAGTTCAGAGTGTCAACCGGACAGATGCATTTAATGCCGTATTTCTACATTTTCCCCCTTCATCAAACAGTCAGTCACAAGGTCCAATCATCGTGTCATCTAGTTGCCGGATAATGTCACTTCTTCTCTCCCCGACCACCTGTGGGAATGACCTTGGTTCCCAAGAGAAAGTATTTTGCTTTGGCTACAAACTTCCCCCCCTCTATCTCTACTCTCCCCTTCCTAACCCTCAGCTCTAGTGTGGCAACGCTGAAGCTAGAAAATGGCCAACTTCCACGTTGACACCCGCCCTTCCCTCTAACGTTAGCAAATCCTAAATCAAATCCCACATTTGAAGGCTGTGCTCCTAGCAGAACCAGAAGAAAGAGAGCCTGGAAGGCAATAGGTTGCTCAAAGAGTGAATTCCTTTGCTTTTTCCAATGCCTTAGAAGTCCAGATGGGGACGAGCAGCCGTGGTGCTATTTCATTAAGGACGGCAGGCTGTCTTGGGGATACTGCAACGTGTCATCATGCCGTAAGTAACTTGTCAAGGATTCAACTTGAGTTGTACCACGAAATTAGCCCAAGGATGGGTAGACGTGTTCTTAAGTAAATGTAGACTTTTATAAAATAAAATAAAAATAGCAGTTATCAACAGTGGTGAGATTCAAAAGAATTTACTGCCAGTTCTGTGGGCGTGGCTTGGTGGGTGTGGCTTGGTGGGTGTGGCTTGGTGGGTGTGACTTGGTGGGTGTGGCTTGGTGGGCGTGGCTTGGTGGGCGTGGCTTGGTGGGCGTGGCTTGTGGGCATGGCTTGGTGGGC